ATATTGGAAATTGCACTAAGAGCCATCTTGAAGGCGTAGGAAGTATAGAGTCAGCCTGCTTGATGCCATTTTTCCAAATAGGTATAATAAAATCTATTTTTACTGGAACAACTTTGCTCAGGATAAGGTTCTCCGCTTATTGCTTGGCAAGTGAGAGAAGGCCAGAGACGAAAGAGGGAAATGTGGTTGAAAAACAATGGTCATTCCTTAGCATAGACGGCATGATATTTTATGAATTGATCAATGAAACAACATACAAAATTGAACGTCAATACTAACACTATTCACTGAACATTTCATTTGATACGCCTCCAATGATAAGTATAAGTACTGTCCACCTGTCGCGATGCTTATGCATTTATTGTATTTATATTTATTTTTCTTTTGAAAGGACGAGGAACTGGACAGGAGCGATGAGGCCAGAGACAACTTACATTCGGCAAGTGTCAAGAAGAATGTTACTATACATGCAAAAGCTGAATCAATTCCCACCGCAGAATGTGATCAGTCTGCACCCAGTCAGTCTGGTTCTTCATCAGTGAATACTGGACTGTCAGGAAAGAAGAAAAAAGTTACAGTTTTCTGTTGTTTTTGTGAATGTGAGGTTTTTCATTTTCCACGTCATTTGAAAAGAAACCATACGAATGAAATTGAGGTACAAGAATTTCTAGCTTTACCTGTTTTAAGCCGTAAAAGGCAACAACTGCTTTTTGCTCTAAGGAAAAAGGGTAAATTTATCAACTCTACGCCTTTGAGGGGAGAGGGGATAAAACCTGTTAGAAAAGGTGCGGAAAAAACGGAATATCTTCCATGCATCCACTGTATGGGTTACTATTCTGCAAAGAACTTATGGCGTCATCGCAAACAATGTGATGCAAACCCGGAGAAGGGATCGTCGGGCAAACGATCACAGGCTTTAGGACAAACTCTGTTATTGGGTAATATAAAGGTAGATATTGAGCTCAAAGTAAAAGTATTTCCTCGCATGAGACCTGACAAAGTTTCATTGGTTGCGAAAAATGATAAATTAATATGTGCGTTTGCTTCCCGATATCTGAAACTCCATAGGGAGCTACATTTTGTCCAAGTCGTTTCTAGGAAAATGAGAGAATTGGCTCGACTTCTAATGGAGATAAAAAAATTAGATTTGTCTGTGGTTACCCTATTTGATGCTCTAAAACCACACAAATATGACATACTTGTGAAAGCAACTAAATTAACATCAGGATATGATGACGAAAGCCAAACTTATAAATCCCCCACATATGCTATGAACATGGGTACAACCTTAAAACAATGTTGCGATGTGGCTCTTTTACACGTTCTAAAAAAATCTAAGTCACTGCCAACAGTAGATAATGCAAACGTTGAGGCAGATATAAAAACATGCATCCAACTCATAGAGGCAAATTGGCGATTCGATATTTCAACCAATGCTGCTAATGACCTCAACCTAAAAAAATGGAATAAGGTCACTTTGGTACCGTTAGCTACTGATCTCAAACTATTGAAGGATTACCTCATGAAAGTAGCTGCAAATCAGGTATCAATGCTACAAAAAAATCCAAGCAATGAAAAAGCATACACGTCTTTACTCGAGACAGTTTATTGTAGGTTGCTTTTATTAAATAGGAGGCGGCCTGGAGAACTACAACGACTTCCCATACATGTTTACAAATCCGCTATATCTGAGGAACACAATCAAGCCTATGAGGAGTTTTCAGAAGCAATAACAGAAACCGAGAGAATTCTAATGAGATCTTTCAAACGAATAGTAATCCGTGGAAAAAGAGGCAGAGGTGTTCCAGTTCTTATAAGCAAGGATGTACAGGATCACTTGAATCTAATACTAGAGTGTAGAGATAATATTCAGACGGTGTCGAACATATATCTTTTCGGTAAACCTAACTCCCAAGAACCCATTATTGGTTACAAGGTAATCAAAAAGTATGCGTCGTTATGTCAAGCGAAAAATCCGCATGCTCTGACTAGCACCCGTCTGAGAAAGCACTTGGCAACCTTGACTCAATTGTTCAACATGTCAGAAAATGACATGGAACAACTCGCATCTTTTATGGGACATACACTAGGTATCCACCGTGCATCATACCGATTACCAGATGACGTCTACCAAACGGCTAGACTCTCCAAGATTTTGACGTTGATGGAGAAGGGCGAGGCAGGTCATTTCAAAGGAAAATCCCTGGACGAAATTAATTTGAATCTAGACGAGAATTTGATATCAGAAGCGCAGCAGGATGATAACCACCCAGAGCCTCTATGCCAATATGAAGATATCCAAGAACCGCATCCAGATCCGGAATCTCAGCAAGTGGATATAACGTTACCAAAGAAAAAGTCCAGGGTTCTAGTTCCTTGGACTGAAGATCAGAAAAATTTAGTCTTGGTTCACTTTGGAAATCACATTAAATCTAAGAGGGCCCCAAAAAAGGCTGAATGCGATAACCTCATCGCAAGTCATACTGAATTATTACATAATAAGGACTGGCTAAAAATCAAAGTTTTCATCCAGAACCAGTACCGAAAGAAAAAATGAATACCATCTCAATTTATGAGCGAACCCGTTTTTTTAATAAAGTAGAAATTAAGTATGAACATATGTATCACAAACTAAGTATAAGCATTTTTTAGTAGTTTCATTTTGTCAATGTATAAATTCAGTTTTCTTCTTATGTATTTTCGTAAATAAAATTCATACCGATATTATTTGCGTTTATCCTTCGCTCCTATAACCGCGTGGTTGTCAAAGCACAAAATGTTGAAAAATGTAGGTCATTGTCCGAAAGCGAAGTTTATGCAATTTTCTCTTCGTTTGTTGACCACTCTGCAACCACTGCAGCTAAAGCGAATTTTTTGTGATTACATTAATTCCCTGCCAATAGGCGCGGTAAGTAAAAGCATATTTTTTAAATTGTAAAACTAGGATTAGCATATTTGTTTTTATTTTATTCTATAGGAAATTGGATTTGAGCATCACCTTTATCATATTTGAGAGTGTTTTTTTGTGAACATTTTTCCTTAATACTACACCATCCTTGATTTTCTATTCATGTGGTTGTATTTGCATAATGGTCTATCTATATTACCCTTTTTAATTTAGCTTGAGTAGCTTTACGCTAAACTTTGCTCTTTGTTCATATAATCATGTATTGTACACATCGTGACCCAATATTCCATGGACGTGAGATTACTAGTTATTTTCAGACTGAGAACAAGTCGATTGCACATAAGTTATCTGTATTCGAAGGTGCTTCGTTAGGGGGCATCAAAGTTTTCTTTTAAAAACACGTTTTCCAAGATATTTCAAAAGCCGGTAGGTCGATTTTAATGAAATTTGGAACACATATGCTCTGCTCAGCGTTCTAATATTTGCCTTTTACGAAAAACTCCAGAGCTTTTTGGAAGGGTGAAAACTACCCCCACACCTACATAAATTGTAGCAGAATTTTTCCCAACTTTCCTCATGACCGATTTTTTTATTTATTCCATCCTTTGTCTCTCATTAAAACGAGATATCTTTCATAGTTTTCGAGAAAAAAAAACCTTTTTTGGGGCTGGTTTCTAAAAAAATGTTTTAACACATCAAGCGTAAAAATCTAGTTGGCAAATAAACGAAGCACTTTTGCATAGAGGTGACTTATGTCAAATCGACTTGTTATGAGTCTAAAACCTGATTGGAAAAACATTTTTTTCCGAAAACTAGTAATAATAATCGTAATCATAATCATAATCACAACCATAATCGTAATCATAATTATATTAATAATGATAGTAATCGAACAAATATATTATTGCTGCATTACGGTACTCTCGGTCACGGACGCCCCTATTATAATGCCTGACGGCGAACTGGGCCGCACCAGACATAGAAAGGTGAAAAGCCGATCCTCTAACACAGCAAATATAATAAAATACCTAATACAGCGATGCCAATATTAAGGAGGATCTAAAAGCGATAATCTGGATACTGAATACCCGGCAGATGACCGATCCACTGTAGACCTGACTGGTAATATTTGATAATATACGGGCTGAATACCCAAGCGATCGTGAGTCCACCAAATCGGCGCGGCAAAACCCTGAACTACGGTACCCAAATTCGGCGAAAAACATGATCTAGGTCATCCCTCTGAAATTTTGCCAGGTGACAGAGGGGGGCCTGAGGGGCCGATAGGTGGAATTTGCGATAGGTCCTCCTTATACGGAGGACCTATCAGAGCGGAGGACCTATCGACTCTAAAAAGCCCATGAGTGGAGGACCGATCCATCAGAATCTACATATATATATATATATATATATATATATATATATATATAGGAGTATGGAAAAATCTTGAAAAACAAATTTCTTCGCAACAAAAGGGGATAGACACACCCGCTTTGTTTTAAAATGTGTGTAATAACGAACTTTTTTCGAATATCGTAGATCATCTGTTCAATTACTCACAAATACGAAGTTGTTACTTTATGCGTCCAATACCCCCATGAACAACTTACATCAATAAAACCAGGCTTTACAATTATTTCTGGGAAATTTGTTAATATGATTAGACTAAATTAATAGTAATATATGAATTGCTTAAAAATACTGTTCGAAGTTGTCAGCGTTCGATTCAGAAACACAAGTTAACTCCTGAACTAACTGTGCTCGAGTAAATGTTCCTACAAACGGCCTTTTTACGAGATACATATCCCTATACAAGGCGGAATAGAAACGATCTGCATGCATTCGTGAGGCGTCATAAAATAACATCATGTGACAAGTGCTATATGATCATATTTTTGGTATATTTATCAATTAAAAGCTTGGTTTACCTACAAGGTGCACTGCGCTTGGGTTATCTTGAGACTTTGGTGTGTATGTTATTTGAAGATAAGATTCCACTGACACCAGATATTTCTTCCAATTTACCAATAGATTTAAATTACTATAACTACATAATTTTACGTATCAGATATTTCCAGAGTTATTTCCTTACCTGCAATGATTGTTTTTTCACAAACAGAGATAGAAGTATCAATTTGCTCTTCAACGTCAGCTAAAATTGTTTTTGTATTGTGGAACTCATTCTCATCTTGTACATGTATTATTATGTTTTCAGCACTTGCTTGTTCTTTAGACAGTGTACTAAGCAAAACCTGCCGCAGTTTGTCCTCAACAGACTCATTTTCTTGGGCACCTTTGTCCTCAGTTATACACTTACCCTTTTCTTTACTATTTGCAGGTTGTAAGTCTTTCTTTTGAGACAATTTTGTCAGGTAAGTATTGCCTATTTTTATTTTTTTCGGTAATGGTGAAGCCTTGTCAATTTTCCGTTTATGATTGTTGGCGGTTTGATTGGATATTTCTCTTTGTGCTTTGTCATTTTGTAAGATAGTTTTTCTGAATTGAAAATAAGATTTTAGTTGCACCCAACAATGAAGACATATTTTTTGAGATAATTTATCAGTTTTCGATATCTGTAAAAAATGGAACAAATTAAAATGTAACATGGAAATCCATAGGTACTAATTTTTTTTTTTTTTGGACCCACATGTAGAAGACATTTGTTACCCACAAGCTAAATAAAATATGATGGTTGGCAGCATAGGGGATAAATGGTCATTTAGGATTTAGTGTTGGTCTATGCAGGGTTGACAAATATGCCCCACTGCTGTCCTACTTGCTGGGCTTTGCCTCCAAACCATAACTATACTATTACCACATCTCCAGATTGATTAACCTACAGTGTACATAATGCTATATATAAACCTGTATTGGAAAAAAACAATCTTGAACTGCTGAATATATAGGAACATCATTTTCAACATAATCATTGAATATATCCTTAGTATCTGCTTGTTGCTTCATACAAAGTCGACAATGCTCCAATTCACTTTGTGATTCGTTAGTAACATGGCATCCTTCTAGTTCTTCAGTACCGTCAATATCTGTCTTAGTGTCACTGAGAATTTCTGGATCAAATGATGTGTTGTCCACGGAGGTACCTAAAAAAATAACAAAGTTTTGTATTTGGGTGTTTAGTCGTAATGCGAACATCAAAAATATCTCTTAAGAATTGCAAATCTGTCTGAATTGGCCTGGTTAAAAGATACATTGAAATGGATAATTACCAATTATCTTGCCCTGTTCATTGATGATCATCACATCTTCAGTCTGTATAAAGTTTTCTTGACTTCCTGTTGCTAATAGACTATCACATTCATATGATATGTGACCTTCATGATGATCCGAATCTTGATCTGAAGACTGTCCTAGTTCAGGTATTTTTTGATAATATGTTCTGTCAAGTTCATTTCCATAAATGAAATCGGTTATACATCGTTCTTCCAACAAAATGTCTTCCTTAATATCATCATAGCCAGATAAATTTTCAATTACATTTTCTTTTATTTCAGTTGACTGTAGAATAATTGTAGAACTTTCATGATCTACTCTATTGTTTTCTGAATCCTGTGAAGGCCTCGATACCTGATATTCATCTACTAGTTCTACATTAGGCTGATTGATTGCAACATTTACAAAACCTATTTTTCTATCATCATTGGCTAAGTAAATTTCATTTGTACAACATTCTGGATGATTTAGTTCTGTGGAAGAATGTGACACTACCTTAGTTGCCCTCGAAACTGGTTTAGTACTGCTCTGTGAATCACTCTTAATCCTTGGGACCTTAAGCTTGCAAGAACCTGTGTCTTCCTGATGCCTTTTCACATCATTGAAGTGCTTCACGCATATATAACTAGACGAATTAGCAATAGGTACTTTTAATAGTTCCAAGACCCTTTCAATCCAAGGGCTATCTTTTGGACAAGGTATGACGCCTGAATTTTTGCAGCTTGGAATAAAACAAGAGGAACTCATTTCAAAACTCAAGTAATCGACTTCTCAACATTAATACATGCACAACATGGATTAAGCTGGCTTAGGTAACAGGTTTTAACACAAATCGAGAACCGAATGAACTACCGACATGTTGAACTACTTCTGTTGAAAACTTTAACTGCTAAAAGCATCGAATAAATTAATCATACTTATTTTATAGGTGGTTCATCATAAAAAAAACATTTCAATTTGACCGCTAATAGTAATATTTTTTATGGAAGTCAAATTTGACGATTAGAACTACTAATAACAGCATTTTTATAAATGGTGAGTAGTGATGGTTTCATATTTTAACAAATGGCAACTTTTAACGGATGGAAAAATTACAGGCAGTCAAGTTGACAAATGTGGTGTCACTGGTGCCAGTAGTGCTGGGGTTATGCTTGTAATGCGGGTCCCACACGATGCCTTCAACGTTCGACACCTCTCAATTGGCAAGTGCGTCTCCTACAAGATGCGATGAACTCTTTAGTCTCGGACGTTCGACGCATGGTGGTGCCAACGTCTATTATCGGTGTCAGTGTCGCCCTTGAATCTTTACAACTCAAAGGAAAAATTATACAAAATAAAAACGATGAAACAATTTTTTCGAGCGCCAAAAAATAATTTCAGTTCTGTCCTTAGCGACAAAAACTTAAGTCATTCAGAAGCCCAAAAAATCTCGGAAAACGAAGTTTGACCATTTTTTTTTTGTTTTTCGACGATAGTTCCACCGCCACAGTACCGATTTTCAAAAACTACAGAGCTTTTTCATCACTTTCATAGTAGTAACCTAGGATCAAAACTGCATCAAAATCGAGTTATCATTTATTCAATCTTTTTCGTTAGTTATGAATTTCTCAACTAGTCTCGCATTGCAACAGGAAATTATAATAAAACAACTGTAAGAACTTGATAATTTATAATTTACTAAAATACATATCCTTAGGCCAGCCATAACTCACAAACGAAACGTACAAAATATTAGAAATACGAAAAAAGTGTTTTTATAGCAGCCTATGCTTTGTGTGTATGTTACCGCTAACATCCAAAATCCGCTAATATGCATAATAATTAGACATAATAGGAATTATGCGTAAATACTAAAACTGTCGGTTAGTATGCAAAATAACGGCGCGTATCAGGAATTATCGATAACTACTAAAATCGTCAGTAATTATGCAAAGTATCGCCATATTTTTAGTAAATATTAATAATAACTGACACAGCAATAGGAATTATGCATAATATCTGCTGTGTATATTAGTGATTATATACGTACATGTAACCTCACAAAATACGACTGGTAGTGCCTTGAAGCGTGCGTTGAAGTTTGATGTTATGTTTTGATTGTTTTGTTGTTGGAGTTTCTCATCGCAATGACTGCACTACCTACTGATAACATTAAATTTAAATTTGTCGATGAAGTTAAGAAGTTGAAGGGAACAACAAACTCACGATTGAACATTTTATTCAAGGAAGAATATGACGTGCTTTTATCCGAGGTAAGAATGATTTTAAACTAATATAGTGCCTATATTTTAACGTTTAATTCCTGATGTTTTTCTCTAGGTTAGGGATGCTTCATCAAATAATGGTCCCAAAACTCCATTACAGTATCGTAGACTTAAAAGATTTGGAATAGTTGAAGTCGGAAATATTGGAAAGCTTGTAACGCGAAATAAAGAGCAAACGGGAAAGGAAAATAATGAAGATTCTAATAATATAGTGATTGACATACGAGATGTTCGCTATGTTGTTCCCGGAAGAAATGTTTGATATTTTAACCATTTGTCACAGAAGTATAGGTCACGGAGGAAGAGATCGAATGAAGACCGAAATGTCCAAACAGTATTCGAATATTACACAAGGTTATCAACGATGCAATTGCACAAAATTCTGCCAAAACAATACCTGCCGCGGTAAAAAAATAATCGATTATGCAAAAGTAAGTGCCAACAAAGCTCTTCTTGTTCCAATAAATAAATATAAATATAATAATATAAATAATTTTTATGTAGTCGTTTGAAATGTTACGGTTATGTTTTTTCTCGTTCTGATTCCTGAATATGTTTGATTTTCATCTATGCATACCATATAGTTTTGTAGAATTACATATGTATTAAATGTTATGTAATAGTATACTTACTCGTAATATATTTCTATTTTATCATTAACTACATAGCATTTCAAATTTGACGTTACTTAGTTAATGACGTTACGTGATATTATGCTTAATCACTAACATAAGATATTGGTAGCTTCAGTATGTACGCATAATTTCTAATTTGGACAGTGAATATGCATCATAACTGATTATTTTAGTACTTATTAATAATTCCTGATACGCGCCGTTATTTTGCATACTAACGGACGGTTTTAGTATTTACGCATAATTCCTATTATGTGTAGTTTTTATGCATATTAGCGGATTTTGGATATTAGCGGTAACATGTATACTAATTTAATCCATTCGTCACATTGTGTGGGAGCGGTTTAACACGGATGAACGTCTCATATTCGATATTTTTGTTTTCAATTTTCAACACGGTCTAAAAATGTATATATATTTTTTACCTTTATTTCCACATTTTTCAAACTACAGGATACGGTGGAGAATAAATGAGAACGATGATTTGAGAAGTAGCTAATTTTCAACTCGATAACTCTATCGATATATCGAATGATGCATCTACACTACACCATCACAAGTCAGAGTAACCTCAAAAAATAAATACGGCGTTCCTTTCAATTCAAAAAACGTGTTTTCGTTTTGAATTCCGGCATTGTGTAGGACGTGATTTTGTGATAATTTTGCTCCTCAGTGAAGCGAAATATTCGCCGAGAGGTTGCTGGGCACTTTAAAATTCTAGAATAACATCATCTACAAACCGAACAAGCGATGGTGAGTATATAAATGAAACACACACATGCTTGATGGTGTTAAGATTATGATTTATACAAAGGTGTTTATTTATTTCAGGCTGAAGAAGTAAACCCTAAGGCCTACCCTTTGGCAGACGCCACACTAACGTCGAAAATCCTCAACTTGGTGCAGCAGGCAATGAACTACAAACAGCTGAGGAAAGGGGCCAATGAGGTGACCAAAACATTGAATCGTGGAATAGCAGAGTTCATTGTGATGGCTGCTGATTCTGAACCTCTGGAAATTCTTCTACACTTGCCTCTATTATGTGAGGATAAAAATGTACCTTATGTTTTTGTCAGATCAAAGCAGGCTCTAGGTAGAGCCTGTGGTGTATCTCGCCCTGTTATTGCATGCAGTGTGACTGTAAATGAGGGATCACAGCTGAAACCTCAGATACAGACTATCCAACAGGAGATTGAAAGATTGTTAGTTTAAGTACAAATATTTTTGTTAGATTATGCTCAGTTTTCCCATATTTTTAAGTATGGTGATTGTATTTTTTTCAATAATAAAAATAATGAATCAGAAATTATTTAAATATCCATGAATCCTAGTAATGTGAGGGAAGTGTTATAATTAATACCAGTGTTGTGTTGAGTTGTTTTCTCTTAAGCAAGAAGTTATTACATACATTTTAGATCAATTGATTTATCCTAATGTAGCAAATCTTATTTGAACCTAGTATCAGATTGGGAAAGAAAAGTAGATTTTTCATTAAAATATAATTATTTTCCATTATATCATGTAATATAATATATCTAATGAACATTAACAATAATAAATTATTTAAATACTGGTGCAGCAATCATGTTCCAGTTTTCTCTCCATCTACATTTTTGGTATGCTTCTAAGGCAGTCTTGAATTTTCTCTCAATTTCCTTCTGCTCTTCATTATTTGGAAATCTAGTGAACCAATTTTGAATCTGTTTGCCCAACTCATCAGAGTTCATGAATATGTATCCATTCTTTTCATGTTCAACCAGTTCGTACAAACTAAAACAAAAAATATATTAAGGTTGAATATTCCTAAATTCACTTTCAAATCTTGCACATTTTTCTCCCACAAAAAATTCCTAAAACAGACTATCAATCTGTGCAGGATTTAAGTATAACATACAATGAAAGATTATGATGTCTTAAAAATTTAAAAACCAAATACGAGAAAATTTATAGTAACGAAATCTTTATTTCTGCTGAAAGTAGTAATAGAAATATACTTACCATTTGAAGTAGTAAGCACAAACAGGCAGTCCACACCCAAACATATCAACAACTTTCATTGGCAAATCTAATCCACTTGAGCTCATGTGTAGACTGACACCCAAATCTGCTGATGCAAGCATCAATGGATAGTGATGCGGTTCCAGCCAGGGAGTAATAACAGTCACATGATGCCAGTTCCTTTCTTTGATCAAATTACAGTAGTAGTTCTTTAGGTGACCCTTGCCAGTGATAAAGCACATCAAGTTTGGTAGACTGGAACTGTTGCCATTTATTATATGATCTTCATAATCTAAACAGACATTTATTGAAACATAATTTGCAATTATTATTAGCTTTAGCTAATCTTACATATATTATATTGTATTATTGTTGTATTTTCTAGAGAATTCTGTAAATAATATGGTACCTTGTAGAGCACTTAACAGAATAGAAAAGTCTTCATCCTCTGTCCAACTTGTGCTAGAAACTAGCATTCCAGGCCTATCTGGCCTCAATTGAATATTTTCATCTACCAATGTAGTAAACACTGTAGATCCATCTGTACAAAGAACTTCCTTATAGGCTTTTCCAAGTTCTAGTAAGAATTCATGTTTTTCTTTTAGGCTTATTGGCTTAAATCTTAATGGAGGCTTATCATACAAAGTATTTGCACTGTAAATGAAAATCAAACTTTGTAGCTTATTCAACAAATATAAATATCAATAAATAAGTAAGGTATACTCACATTATATTCCAAGTTGTGGCTAAATCATGCCTCATAGCTTTTGTTACACAAAAATTATAGTCAGCCCGTCTTCCAACAAATCTTTCTACCATTTTAGTCATATGAACTAGTAGATTACTATTTGAAAGGCTCATTGCCAATATTGTGTGGCCATAGTTATGCCAGTCTATTACAAGCTTACTACCTGAAAAAATCAAAAACTGAACTATAATACTTTCAAATGGGGAATCAATGAACAAAGCTCTGCTAGCTGCATCTTCAATTTCATTTTTTTTCTCACTTCCAATTTTGTTTTTGCAGTCAACTGGTGTTAACCCAAGAAGGGCGAACTGCCCCTCATTTGCTACACCATTGCTTTATATGCAAATTGTTGATAAAAATATGCATATTTGGTTGGTTTCTGGGTAGTTAGGCGTTCGTAAAATATTTTTACTTGACAAAAACCAACCAAATAACATTGAATGATGGCCGCGAAAGCATTTTGAATTCCAAAAATATCCTTACCTATAATTCTGCAAAACATCCAACAAACTAATAAAGCAGGCACTGCTGGAGGATTTTGTACAATTAACATATCGGGATTCCTAGCAATTATGAGTAGAAACAGTAAATTTAGAGTCTGCCAAACAGTTTTAAAAGCATAATTCACTATTTTGATTGGAATGTTTGGGCAAGGAAGCAAGTAGTGATAATACAAAAGCGGTGCAGTTTTCACTTCTTCCATAGGCTCGGTTTCCCCGTACGCTATCACATCTACCTTTTGTCCCATTTCTGCCAGAGAAAGGGCATGATACTGCATCCTAGGGCTGCGCCCCAAGTCACCCAGAACCACTACACATACGTTTTTTGAATTATCAGACGACATGATGCGATAGTAGTAAACATATAAAGCAAATGTATTGTTTTGGCCAGAACTGAAAAGATAAAATATCTTTAGTCTTCCAGGATAAAAAATTTAATCTTTTGCTGTTGCCGGCTGAAGTTGTCAAAAAGACCACAAACTAGTGGTGTGGAAAAGTAGCTATTCGTTACTCGAGTAGTCGTTACTTATAGTTACCCGAAGTAACGAGTACCAATCCGAGCACGAAATGATTACTCTGTTTTCCGTATCCGGTACCCGTACAATCATTGATCGTTGAGTGGCAACGTTGGTTTAACTGCAGCACTGCCGCTCATGCATCAGGGTCGCCAGACATTCCACATTCGGGTGGAAACCTGGAAGCTCCAGATTTAGAAACAATTACCAAATTCTATGTCCGCCAATAAAAAAAAATTAGTTTACCTATTTACACCGTGACTGAAATTCGCTTTTCTTGTTGTGATCTTGGCACCTGAAAAGAAATAAGGAGTCGATGGGATTGGAGCGAAATTCGGCAGTATTATGTGGCAGAAAAGCGACAACAAGGTAATAGCACCGTTCAGGAAAACCACAATAATGAAAATTATATCAATTTGACTCATGTTTACTTGTACCGTTTTGCCAAAAAAATTATAATTCAGTATGACCACCAATAGTATGTGTAGACTAAGCTCCACGTAGAATTTTGTATACTGGTATCCTTAAGCCCATATACAGATCATCTTTCTGACTAATTGACATGCTTTTTAAGCATTTCTAGTAAATACAAAGTATTATAAGTTTGTAGGCTCATATGAGTCATACTCTATCCTATAATAACCCATCTCGATAAGCATAAAGTTGGATGATACGATGTTTGCATTAAACACGGCAGATTTGAATAAACTATGCTTAAAACATTTTGCAAATTTTAAGGTTGTCTATTTTTCTTACATGATTCGGTTCCATTGAAATTGTTCAAATTCGACATTAATTACACGACACACATTTCCTAATCGTTATACTCATACTACTTACTCATAGTGATCAAAGTAACGAATACAATAAATGATTACTTTGTAGAAGAGTAACGAGTACTCGAAAGTAACGAGAATCAACACCACTACCACAAACACAAAACGGTAAGACCAGAGCCGCTTTTGCAGTGCCTGGTTTGTGTAACTCGGGGGAGCTACCCACCACCTGCCAATACCGTTCCAGTTTCCAGTGCTCTAGAGTGTCATGCAACTGAGCTACTCATTTTTGGAATCCTCTGCCCCCTCATGCACCAGCTTTTTTATTCGGTGTTGTACGCTCCGATATAGCGGGTATAACGAAAATGACAATGTGTCAAGATTATTACGTTATGTTTTTTCATCGTTTTTGTTCTATTTTTGCATTAAACTCACATTAAGCCGGTACCAGACAATGGAGAATGGTAAAAAACTGACAATGTTATGACCCAGAGTCACCACGTACATTTGAGATGTTCTTGAATAATAAGGATCCCAAGAGAGTGCAAGAATGCAGGTTCATAGCGGCCTGTAGTTGGGTTCATCTATAACTAGAGTTTCCAGATGGATATTTCTCTTAACAGTAGGACGCCACCAAAAAAACAGGAGATGTGCCTATCCCAACAGTAGGGTTTAATAAATATGTCTATTCTTTCATAGAACTTTATAACCACAAAGAAAACTAAATAAAACAGTCTTGTAAGTGAATAAATATCACGTTCTTTCGTAGAAAACATAAACTATCACATAAAGACAGCCAAATAATATAGCAATAATATATAAAAATAAGCTTTGGCGACAAAATTAATAAACACTAATTTTTCCAAAAAGAAATAGTAATAATATACAATAATAAAAATAATATTTGGCAATAAAACTAGTAAATACTAATCATTTTGAATCTGAATCAGTCAGTTCGAAGTTTTTCATATACCTGTCCGAATTTTGTAACTTCAACAGCCCTCCAGAATGACAAAATTGGTTTTTGATCTCAAGAACGTTTTGCCATGAAGTAGCTCTACAATACTAGAAGTAGATAACCTATTTCGCTGTTTCGTTTTCAGCAAATTAACTTTAATTAATCAAATTAAGTAGTCGAAGTATAATACTGATTTTATTAAGGATTAAAAATGAGCTAATACCTAGTAGGAATTGAAAAATTAACTGATTACTTGTTCATCTTCGACCTTCAAACAGATCAGTCAATAATCACTACTCGAAAACTAACACCTTTTTTAGGAATGGCAGGTGAGAAGCATAAAAAACGTATTGTCGTAATAACAGGAGATTTTATAGTGAAAACAAAAGAACAGTAGCATGGAGGTAAAAACAGTAGATCTCCTGTTAAAACAGGAGATCTGGTAACAGTGATTACTAGACCCTTTGAAAATAATTGTGTATGTCTACACTAAAATATGAATTCGACACATTTATCCAGAAGCTTTATAATAAAACTGCAGACCTCTGTCGTGTTACGCCATCATTCTAAAAGCATCATCAGGCACCCATTGGATAGTCTTTACAATTAAAGCAAAATGTGTTCCCGTGTACATTTGCTAGAGCAATTCCGGGTCCATAAACCTTCAATTCAAAAGCACTGGAAAGCGGCTCAGTAAGACGTCAACGGTTTAAACCTCACAGTTCTCACACGTCAATGTCACCATTGACACTTGTCTAGGGCCGCCAACATTGACAACCAAATCGCTTACTAAATCAAAACACAACATATTTATAAAACAATTTTGAGATAAAGGAAGAGTAAAACCGTAGATTATTAGCTACACTAAGTAAAACTAATCTATTCGCAAGACCACTGCTAATGCCGCTATTTGTTGCAAGTACAATGGCACAAGTAAGTTTCAATTTCCGTTTTTCCATTTGTTCCTCCACTATCTAATTTCACGGTTCCATTTTAGATGCCTGTCACGTCAAAAAGCCTTTTTTGCAACTTTGGATTTTGAACAATGCTCTTTTTACAGAACGCAGTTGAACCTATGCAAGTAGATGCACCTCCAGAAGACAATGACAACAACGAGGAAGAGAACTATGTGGTGGAGAACCCTTCATTAGATCTTGAAGTTTATGCTAACAGCTACACAGGTCTGGCAAAGTTATATCGTTTGATCTACATAATTGATCATTGCCCTTCTCTACGGCTGGAAGCCCTAAAGATGGCCATTTCCTATGTCATGACAACCTATAACGTTAACCTGTATCAAGTACTGCATCAGAAATTAGCTGAAGTTACTACTGCGCTTAATGTACCAGACGTCGCTGCGCCTTCTACATCTCAGGTTTGATGTTTTTATTTCTGCATGCTGCATATTACCAATAACTTGATAATAGCTTTACACAGACATGTTTGATGTGTCGATGCAAAAAAATGGGGTTTCACTATTTCCAACATAATTTTCTAAAGTTTGCTGTCTTCCGATGAAACTGATATATTCAAATATGCATTTATAAATTACATTGAAATTGACATTTTTTTTTTTAAAAAGGTTCGATATCAAAATCGATCAAAAAGTCCCATCTCTATACCATGGCCAACCCCTACTTGTCAGTTCATTTTTAGCGATGTTGCCAAGCTACGCGATTTCTCTTTATTAATAGAGCACACTACACTAACGTTTGCAATGGAGAGCTTCTTTGATTATGTACATCTCTAAGAAAGTCGAGGGTATGGATGATTTTAGATTAGTAACTTTTACCCAAAGTATTTCTGACAACAAAAAAATGCTTATCGAACACGTTATGTGTCTAGGAGGAAGCGATATCCAAAATGATTTGGCAACTGTGGTTCATGCCGGTTCGTTTGATGTTTGACACTGACAGCTAATTTGTTTTTGTTTTGGGCGTTTTGGCCGTATTTTGTTTGAATCCATTGGTTATCTGAAAAATACTTCTTGTCGAAATTGTTGATATTTCGTGATGTTTTTTGTGTATGAGCAGTCTTCTGATGCTCAAGTGAGAATATTGAAGACAGTTTCAAAGTTGAGCAGTTTCATCACATGCGCCTATATTCCTGCTCTATTTTACTTTTTGCATAAATCTAACAAACTGTACAAAGTTTGCGATGATAACGTACTTCTTTACATCGTTCTGATAGAGGAAGTCTTAAGGTATGCTTTGTGCTTGCCTTGGAGTAAACTGAAGAAATCCAAGAAGTCAAACAAAGAAAACTGGATTGTGAAGGAATTTGTTAATATTTTTAACACATTTTTTGCCACAGCTGTAGTTGCTGCCTTGTTCCACATTGTTTCAGTACTTTTAGGAGCACCTTTTTATGATAATTTCTGTAAAACTTTCCGTTTTTCATTACTGATTTCTATGTTGACTGTATTACCCCAGGGACTTTTGTATGGGTCTCAAATTATCATCCATCTCTTCACTTCAGTCTTTGATAATGAGATTACCTTTCCAAGTTGCATTTTAAATGTTAGATTGACGATATTGGGTGCCTGGTTAGGGTCCTGTCTTATTCCATTGGATTGGAATAGGCCTTATCAAGTGTGGCCTACTCCATGTTGTTTGGGTGCATTGGCTGGTTGTTTCATTGCTAATTTGATACAGTTGGTCAGCCCAGATAAAAAACTAAAAAAGGATCATTGTTTTAGCCTGTGTAAGTAGAGAACTACGCATATCTGACACCTGCCAATATTTATGTTTTTGCTTTGCGTAGGGTGAAGACTTCAAGTTTGGTAATTTGTTCCAATACATCATCTTATTAGACTGTAAATTTTTCATAAGAGAGGGATGTTAATCATTATGCTGGGTCCTCTCAGGAGCATGGTTATCTCAGAGTCTGTTTGGAATTTTTTGTCCCCTTTTTTGTAATATCTGTATAGAATGTATTTCATGACAGTTAAGAACATTTTTTATGAGCTGGATTCCTACATGAGAGTATTATGGAGACATATTTTGATATCCTTGTTTTTCCACAGGATATTCCTGCTATCGACAATATGTGGATGGAGACTAGATCTAAGAAAGCTGCCCTTAAACTAGAAAAATTGGACAATGATTTGAAAAACTACAAATCAAACTCAATCAAGGAAAGCATCCGTAGGGGTCATGATGATCTTGGTGACCACTATTTAGATTGTGGTGACCTTTCTAATGCTCTCAAATGTTATTCTAGAGCTAGAGATTATTGTACTAGTGGAAAGCATGTAGTCAACATGTGCTTGAATGTGATCAAAGTTTCTGTGTATCTACAAAATTGGTCTCATGTCTTGAGTTATGTTTCCAAGGCAGAGAGTACTCCTGATTTCTGTGAAACTCAAACCAAGGATTCAAATCAGGTCATCATGACTAGGCTCAAGTGTGCTGCAGGTAAGGATATGTTTTTATGCTGGTTCTACCCTAGATCAAATTCACTCATTTTAAATATAATGACAAAAACTAGGTACATAGCATTTTATTTGTGCAGAAAACAAAGCTGATTTTTTGTAAATCTTGTAAATCAGTGTTGTTTATCTTGACAAAGTATTGTTTCATATTTAACATAATAACTGGGATTAATTACCAAGCCCATACAGCTTGGAATAATAGATGGCCACATTGTATACAATTGTTGCCTGTCAAGCCTATAGTGTACCTTGGAGAACACTTCACTTTCAAATTTCTCATTCCAGGATTGGCTGAGCTGGCAACAAAAAAATACAAATCTGCTGCAAAACACTTTCTACAAGCCAATTTAGATCATTGTGACTTCCCTGAGCTTTTGTCTCCCAACAATGTCGCAATGTATGGTGGCTTATGCGCCCTGGCGACCTTTGATCGGCATGAACTACAGAAGAATGTCATATTTAGCAGCTCGTTTAAACTGTTCCTAGAGCTGGAACCGCAGTTGCGCGACATCATTTTCAAGTTCTATGAGTCCAAGTATGCACAGTGTTTGAAGTTGCTGGATGAGATAAAGGATAATCTGTTGTTGGATATGTACATCGCGCCGCATATCAGCACGCTGTATATGCAGATCAGAAATAGGGCGTTGATACAGTATTTCAGGTGAGTCAAGGATGTTGTTCGGAACCAACATTTGGAACCGGCTTGCTAAACAGTACTTTAAAGTACTTGTATAGTATTTTTAATCCTAATTGCAAGGGACAAAAAACCTGGGCTCTTAAAATAAATGGGGAATCCTATATGAATGGATAGTATAACAGAGCTTCAAAACTACTAAATTGTACCTTCTAGGTTCAACAAAAAAATGCTCTAGTGAACCAAGTGTATCTAGAGATCTAGACCATGCTGGCAACAATCACATAGAACAATGGAAACTAGTATTTTGAAGGCTTACTACATTTAGATGCTCCAGATACCAGCCATTGGAACTCATATTTTGTTGTGTACCAAAAGAAACTCGCGAAAGAAAAAAAAAATGACGTTTGGGAGACTTTTCTGGTCATCTTCTAAAGATTGTACACATCTATACTAAAGAAATACTAAAATGTTAAATTTTATCAATATGAACTGTGATGCCTACAGCCTTTTATCTGAAAGACTGCTTGGGTTTCTTTGGTTTACGAATTCCAGAATAGTTTTATTATTTGAGTTTAACATTTTACTGTTGTTTCTCAATTTTTTCCAGACCAGAATATGAATGTGTGATTGTAGAATGGAAATATGAGTTTTGGCACTATCGAAATCGCACTATTATTCTCTTGTATTTGACTAGAAATGAATTTTTAGCCCATATTTATCAGCCGATATGCATAAGATGGCAGAAGCATTCAACCGTACTGTCCCAGCTCTGGAGGACGAACTGATGCAGCTGATTTTGGAAGGTCAAATCCAGGCACGAATTGACTCGCACAACAAAATTCTCTTCGCTAAAGACGTTGATCAGCGCAGTACCACGTTCGAGAAGAGTTTGCTGATCGGAAAGGAGTACCAAAGGAGGACTAGGATGTTGATTTTGAGGGCGGCTGTTTTGAAGAACAAGATCCATGTCAAGGTTAGTATATGCAAGATGTGCGAATTCCAGTACTATCCATGAGGCCAGAATTCACCGAATAGATTGAAATCAGTGCTCAAATTTCTCTTTCTAGTTCAGTACTATGTTCAAATTCATTAGTTGTGTGAGAGTTCTTAGTAACTGGTAGGTGTCTTATCTGATACTTCATTCTTCTTCTATGGAACAAAAACGTCCGATTTTTTTGATAATTTTATTTTTCAATATAATCCCCCCTACATCAATGCACTTCCGACATTTCTCCTCGAGTCAACTTATACCCTTATAAAAAATCTTTCCTCTCGACTCTCAGAAAAGTCGTCGACAGCTGCTTTTAGGCCATCATGAGTCAAAACGGCGTCCTCGAAGGCTTTATAGATAAAATATGGAGCCAAGTTCAGACTATAGGGAGGATGGTATATCTCAACGAAGCTGCATTACTTAACAATTTGTCTAATTTTAGCAACATCATTCACGGACGCATTGTCATGCAGCAGAGACACTTCTAGACTGGAAAAAACGGGTATTTTCTGGTTGATTGCTTTACATACATTTTCAGAGTGTTCATATAGGCGTCCGCATCTATTGTTGTCCCTTTTAGCATATATTCAATAAGAAAGATGTCCCTGATATCCCAAAAAACAGTTCAGATTTCCAGCAGAATGTTTCGTCCGTGCTTTTTGGGGGGTGAAGACGGTGGAGACCGTTTATGATCCAACAGCTTGATGCTATTTTTGATTCAGTACGCCAATAATGCACCCAAGTCTCGTCACCAGCCACAATTTGGTCAAGTATCCAAATGATTTTCTGAAATTTCCATCCTTCGCATTTTTTTTTCAGGTGTCAATGGTCCTGAGACCTGGCTGACACCTTACTCATGTTCAAATTGTCGTGCAACATGCTTATTAAGCTGGGTTCCAGTGCCATACTAATAGCCTTTACGCGACGATCTTCGAGAACCATGGCTTCAACTTTTTGAGTCATTCTATCATTTTTTGCTGTTTTGGGTCTTCTACTTCTGGGATTATTTCCTCTGGAGTCAAACTGTTTCGACCAAAATTTTATTGTGTAAATATGATGGTGTATCATCCTCATAGGCGGCAACCATTCTCAGAATTGTTTTCAAGTTTCTTCTTTTGCTCACAATTCACTTTATAAATTTGAAAGTAATTAATATTGGCCCAAATTTTGCATGCATGGTTTGAACCCATGCTACTATTTGACATATTGTGCGTTTCAATTGTTTTTTTATGGCTAGATAGATTTCTTTTCTAGTGTTCCTCATTACAAATATTATTTTCGATTTTACTAACTGATTAAACATATTTTGTCATCGATGGTTAGGGTTTTGTTAAAATGTGTACATTTATCCAGTTAACATTCAATATTCGATTTTTGTTTCTATTATGTTTCTGTTTCAGAGTCCACAAAGGGAGACGGGTCAAGCAGGAGACATAACCATTGCACCTGGAACAAGCACTGTGTTAACTGCAAGAAATTAATTTTTCTTTTCCAATCCTGTATCAACTTGTTACTTTAAAACAACTTTAGGTTAATAAATTGCTTTAAAATAATGCTTTGTTGTTTCTTATACCTACTGCCCCGTGAGTACGATGGTGAAGTGTGGTTTTGGCTGTTTTACTGAGTATGCAAAATAGGATTACCTTGTTCAGCTTAGTGGCTATTCAAGTATTACGTAAGCACTAAAGACGATCGAGAGGCCTTTGCTTTGCTTATTTTTGATGACATGAGGGATGGGGGGGGGGGGTCTAGATGGTGAATATATCAGCAATATGTTTTTTACTTTTTTGAATTACCTATACAATTTAGTCGATGTCGTTTTGAAGTCATGGTAAACCTGCTTGTCTATGCTCAAAAGCGAAACGCAACTTCAGTGATTCCCTAAATATAGATATTTATGCTTACTTGCTTTTGGAACCTGAAATCTCTGTATAACGGAGTAGAGTGCAGAATGGCTCCTCTTAGTTGGGACCTAGCTGGTCTGATACTACCTCATGACCATTTTGGTTCTCATTTGTATGAGAACGTGGCACTACAATAATTAATTAACATTAAGAAAGATCCAATTTCGACTTTGACGTAAATGTAGAAGTTAGTATGGAGAGTACAATGGAAATTTATGGTTAACATGTTACTGTAAAGTATGTTATATACCCTATTTCACGAGTATTCATCACGATTTGACGTCTGAGGTGAACGGTTGATCAGCAAGTGACATTTTTGTGTTAGTTGGCAAAAATGAATCAGGTGTAAATCTAGTAAAACTGTTTGTAGCGTTTTGTTTTTTGTGAGCAAATGAACTTTTCTAAGTGAAAGAGCTGTTATCAAGTACAACATGAAACTGTAGCGTATAAAAAACCAAAACAAAATACGCCTCTGGCCACCTGACGTTGTCGGGTCCGTCAGAATTATGTGTCCTGTGCCGATAAGGGATATTTTGAGATATTACTAGATAATCAGTTATCATTCTATCGTGATGGATAGGTATCCTATTTTTCTATTTCCCCATATCGGCACAGGACACGGATCCAGGCAGTCGGAGCCGAGGTTGATTTTGTATTTGCTCTTTTATTTAGAAAAGTTCATTTGCATACAAAAAACAAAACGCCACAATCAAGTTTACCAGATTTATACACGATTCATTATTGCCAACGTTGCAAACACAAAAACATCACTTGCTGATCAGCTGTTCACCTCCCCCAGTAGATATCAAAGCGTGTTGGATACTCGTGAAATAGGGTATAGGCCGGTCGAACCAGATCTTCCTGATTTTCCAGACAGTGCTTACTTAAGCATGGAAGATGGAGCAGGGGAGGCTAAGAGTTTTGCTGACAAGGGGGAGGAGGGGGGTTAATATTTGTACAGAAATCTGCTTACGCAATACTTGAACGGCTCCTTACAGACAGGCAGAAGCAACACTTCTTGGACTTGGACCGACCATGGGAGAAGAAAATTGAGCGCATGGAAAAGTAGTATTTTAGCATTTCAATCGTATACTTTAGAAATTGTATTAGTGATATTACATATTTTTAAAAGATGAATTAGAAGTCCAAAACTAAAGAATATTTGGGATTTTGATCATCATAGTCTGTCCTGGGCTTTGCCGTACACAATGTGTTACCATTACTGAAACTTCTTTCAGTAATATTAATCGCTCTTTTGTCGACTTGCCTAGGTATACTTAGAATTCTTGGATATAATAATAATAAACGTCGTTATTCGCCAAATTATAACAACAAATAAACTTACAATTCCCTAAAATAAAATTGGCGAAGAGCGAAGTTCAGTTATGAACCACTGAAGTGACACATCTGTTCTTTCTCTTAACCCACATATGCATACCTATGAAAAACATGTATATCTACACTAAGATCGTATGCATAGTGAATAATACGCACAATATGCACTTATATATTTGAATAAAATTGAGATGCAAGATTCTGCAGTTCTAAGTGCGACCCTGTTTTCTGGCGACTAGAATCTGAGAAATGAATGTATGCTTTGCGCAAGCGTACGTTGTTGGTTAGCGTCTGGTCGTTCTGATTGAGCCGTTTATTCCAGAAATTTAAAAAAAAAACATGCAAGTTAAAACGATGAACTTCTTACAATATTGGTTGTCGGTGAGTGCTTTAGGGCTTCGCGAGTGTGTTTTACGAGTTTGTTGCAGAAACGATAATTTCGCGATTCGCGCGTTTTTTGTTTATTATGTACAGCGTCTAGTGGACAAATAATTTTTTCCATGTTCTTCCTCGTTTGCGTTGTCGATTATTTGTGCTGGCTTGGTAAGTCGTCTGCATGTTGTACCTTTTATTTCAATAGCTCATAGTTAACATCAAGGCTAATATTCGTGAAGTAAATCACATTCAAGGTAGAAATATCGAGGTTTTTCTTGAGGGTTAACTGAATAAATACCATACGCTAAATGTGCTTAACAAGCAAGGGATCTACAGATCTGTTTACGGATGACCAAAGAATTTTTAATTCAACAACTCGAGGAGGTTGTGTCTCTTCTCTCAATCTGCATCAAAATCTCTGAAATGGAAATGTTGTAGGTTGGTTATTTGGTTCAATGTTTCTCGGTCTTTTTACAGCCTGATGATAATGTATGTTATGCGAAAAATATGAGGAAAGCTAATACGAGTAGTCCAGGAATGTACATGGTGTTTCAAATTTGACCCTCACCATTGGGATCTCGGAAACTGTAACAGATATGAAATCGCTTGAATGGGGGAAAAGTTGCGTATTTAGATGCACAACAAAGTACTTCCGGAGAGAGATGCAAAAAAACGAACTTCCCCAAAATCGTTTTAATTGTTGTCCAACTCTAAGGCCCACGCTAGACCAACGCGAATATTTGCAGCGGATCATGAGGAATAATCCGCAGCGAATTTCATGGCTGATTCCGGATGAAACCTCACACCAAAACGAATAATAGCATCATTTACGTTGTATTTTCTCTATCAAGAAGATTGAATGCTAGTGTTAAAGAAGAAAAACGAGAAAAATTTGTTACGTTTTCTTAATTCAGGATCCTAATAAAGACTTTTCTAATTCGTCATACATTGACATTGCCAAACCTCAGATATTCCAGAAGAACAGAAGCTCCTAGGTATGCGTTTAAATTATCAGATTTCATTTATTTTGTATATCAGACCAGACCTTAAATTCGACATAGCAACAGAGTTTGGAAGACTGAGGAGAAGAGAAATAAATCGAGCAGTAAACAATGTACAGAGGAGAGTCAGGCCTCGCCTACAAAATAACGGACAATATTTTGAATATCTGCTATGATTTATCTCTGCTTATTTATGAGTATAATTGTTATTACCATCATTAAAATTTCCATTTTGTGTTTAGGTTTCACCATCCCCTTGTACTTCCTTTCCTTTCCTTATAATTTTCATCCAACACAAATTCATGGCCAACTAAGGAAATATATCACCGAATTTAGGACTGAAAAGTCTATTCAAATGTACAAAATTCCAATATGGCGTCCGTATTGAAAAAAAAGTTGGCGATGGAAGACGAAAGAAGAAATGTTAAATTGAAATTTGACGCCATCTTGTAGAGGAGAATCAGTAACAATGACCATATGTAATTTACTTTAAAATCCCATCTCAAATAAAGTCAGGAAAAAAGTGGTTTTGGGATAAATCTGGTATGCGAAACAAATGACTATCTGATAATTTCAAGGCCTACTTAGAAAATTCTGCTTTTCGTTGATTATTTTACCATTTAAGCGACTTCGTATCTCTTACAGTTTCCGAGATCCCAATGGTGAGGGTCGAATTTGAAACAGACTGTATATATTATAACCTGTTGGACAAATCACAGCTGGCGTTATCCTTTTGTGTCGTCGATTTTGTACAAATAAAGTAGTTAGCTGCGATTCAGTCATGCTACTCGTACGATTTACTTGCGTAAGTATTTTTCACAACGACGACCGCCATGTATACGAATTTCGGAACTTCTGAACGATACAATACGCCTCGATCACTTTCTGCCGTTCCAGTGTCATTTGCTCATTACAATGTAGGTACAACGTTACTCGTGGCTGAAGTCAGTCTCTGATTACAAATGGGGGAAAATGATAAAAGTAAAAAAATCGGAGCAAATTGGATCGGGATTTCTGATAAATAAGGTGAGACAAGTATTAGAGCAATATAATTGTAGTTTATTGTAGGTAGTGAATTGAAAAACCGTTTTCCTATATACGTAAAAATTAGTTTAGAAACCCGATAATTATCGGTCTTTATAAAAAAAGATAACTTTTTGTATCGATTATCGGAAAAGTTCGATAAATGCATGCTATTGTGTCAGGACTTATTAGACCATATAGACGTACACTTAAGCAGGTGTTTACGATTTGCTTGCCATGCAAATTGCACGACTTGCTTGAACAGCTTAATGTGGGGCGCAAACCAGAGCGGTGGCGAGCAAATAAGGCGCATGTAACTAAACCGAAGTGCGCACACCTGCGACGATCTCGCAAACGCGCCCGCTCTCTTTGCCGCGTTCTACCGCGGCCAACTTGCGGCCAGCGATAGAACGCTGCATGCATTATTTGCCAGCATAGTTCGCGCGATATTCTTTCTAAGGAGTAGTAGCAAACATGAGTAATACCGAAAAACTTATCGAAGATGTGCGGGAACATCCCATCTTGTATGACTTGTCTCACAGTGTCTATAATAAGAGTATTAAAAAAAGACAAAATATGGGACGAAATTGCTTTATGTATACGTGGAACGACGGATAAGTAGCTACAGTTTTTACTTTTATAGATTTTTATTTAGACATTAAAAATTATCTTTTAACACTTATCTAATTATTAAAATATGAAAAAAATTTTTCACGTTTGTTGATCGTTGGGCATCGTTTGCAAAATTTTCAAAGGCTTCGAGGTCGGGCTGCTGTTCATGTTCTTCTGGCTTTATCAAATTCAAAATATCATCAAAACAGTCCACATTCATTCTAAAATAGACAAAAAATGTCTCTCTACCCTCCCGTAGTTTATGAAATATTGTATGAAATTGTTCTTTGCTTTCCCGATCACAATTGATATCATGAACCCAAATCCTTCACTTTTCCCTAAGCAATAAAAGAAGTGTAAGTAATAACTTAAGTACATTTTGGATTTGCAATTTCTTCCTATTCTTATTATTATTAGTAATTTGTTCACATACTTACCTTTGCCTTTCCTCATCTTCATCCACTAACAAAGCCAAAAGCAAAGCTTCTACTTCTATATCCTGTGCACTCATTGCATACTTTAACTCTGAATACTGAATAAGATATTAAATTTGTCGCTGAAAAAACGCATTGGTTTGCGGACATCTAGTCCGCCTGGTAACCGCCACCGCGATGGCTATCGCCACCGCTCTGAGAATTACAATGTTACATTGTTTTAAATCTTTTGGCCACGTGGAACGGAATATTAATGCAAGTACACTAACTTGTTTGAAGAAACGAATGTATGTGTATGCTATTTACGATTTGCGAAAATGGCGGATTCTAGATTGCTGTCCAGGGAATTTCTAGACGAATTTATAGATTTGTATAGAAAAAATGATTGTGGAAGAAAAAAACTAGCATTATTCGAATAAACAACCGTCCATTTTTGATTTTTAAAACTGCGAGATAAAATGGGATCTCTGAGGATACCTATATAGTCTTCCATCTTGTTTGATAACAAAACGTTGGCACAAGTTGTACGTCTTAAAGGTTTCTACAGACACCACTGAAGCTTGTCCAGCATGCTTGTTCAATGTTTTTGTACAAACACGCTTGAAGGTCTGTAGGGAAATGTGGTGCAAGCTTTGTAATTGTACAAGCAGCTTGAGGATTGAATTGATTTTAATTAAGCATGCTTGAATTGGGCGCGCTTGCCCAAGCAAAAGGGTACGTGTGTACCCAAGATTTTCAAACTTGCATAAGTTGGCGTCCGTTGTGTTGTGTTGGAACTGTCGTTACTGATCGTACGTAGGTAGCATTTGAGTAATTTTCGTCATGACTAGAGATCTCAAAAATGTTAACCGTGAATTATTGAAAGATTTTATTCGAGAATACCAAAATCAGCCATGACTTTGGCACGTTAAATCCAAAGATTATCATAACAAAGCAATTAGGGATGCATCGTATCGAATATTGTTACAAAAATATAGGTTAATTCATCCATTTTAAGACAATTGTGCCAGTCACGCGGATATATTTTCAGCTCACTTAGTAAGTTAATGTGAGAATAGGTTTTTCTTTTCATCAACCATTGTTTACACCACATCTCACGCTTCTTTATTCGGTGTTTTCTTTCCTTCACAAGAACAAAAGCGACCAAGGCGAGCGCATTGTCGTCCGAACTCGACATATTTTATCAAACTACCTCTATTTTTATCAAGCAAGCTTGTATGTGTGGTGCCAAAGGCAAATTGTGCATACTTCTACAAAAAGATTGAATAAGCATGCTGGTCAAGCTTGCAGTTGTCTGTAGCTACCTTGCTTGACAAGCAAGCTCTGCGAATTGCATGATAAACAAATCGTAAGATTTGCTTGAGTGTCTATGGGGTGCATGAGGCTTGACTGCTCCAGCTAGAACTCCAAATGTGTGCGAAAATTGAAATTTCTGGTTGAAAATGAAACTTTTCTGATTTATCGGTACGGTACGTTGGTAACGCTTTGCAACATATTTCTCGCAGAGAACATCAATTTCAACTAACTCTTTTTAGTGAAAGAGAGGTTTCATAAAATATACACAATGGGACTTGAATAAGCAGGATTTTCAAAATATTTAACGCTTAAGGAAAAGCCTAAGAGGAATTGAAATAAAACAAGGTCGTGACACAACTGTTTTATTAAAAAAGTGTATATATCTGGGGTAACAACCTTTAGAAAATTTGGAAAGAAATAAAAACAAAAACTCAGTCATATCGTTTCCACATAAATATTATACCTCTTATACCTTAGATTCGCAATTTTCTCTTGTTTCATAATCTATGAACAGTTTGACAACATAGAAAAATATGTCTATGTTACAAAATTATTTGCCTTACTTAGTTTCACAAGGCACCTTTACAATTAGCACAGTCAATGAAAACATTATTTACTTCTTTTCCTGAAACGTATCAAATTTTTTCATGTAGAAAATTTTTGATTTATAAAATTCACTCTTCACAACTTCTCACTTGATAACGCTTAGCAATGTTTATTCCCATGTTATTTCCTAATTATTCTATACATTTTCCAATAATGAAAAACATTTTTTTTTATTGCTAGACTGTTTTGTATGCCTATTTTTCTGCAAAAGATGTTACTATTACACCGATTTTCAAGTTTGTTTTTTGCTATTTTTTTGATGCGGTCAAGTAAAAGTAATTTTAGGATAACCTATAAAAAGTATCCTGAATTTCAACCATATGAATCAGTCTGCTAGGTAATGGATGTTCATTGGCTGTGCTATATGTTATATGTGGTACAGGATTTTTATTTGAAATTTCAGCTCAAATTGAAACAAGGTGATAGAAGTGTAGAAACCAGTATTTGCTCGTAACAATCCACGAAATAAATATCAACACCAGTCCTTTATGTAGGTTCTCCTATAAATTACTGTCTCTAACCGTTCTCAACATTTTTATATGAAATATGTACTTACGTATGTATTACAATAAAGTAAGTAGCCTGGATTGAAATGAATTGGTCATTACCATTTTCAGGACTGTCTCAAATTTCGGCTGAGATTTAAAACAAAAAATCCTGTGCCAATATAAATGAAAAACCAAACAAAAAGTATTATCCACGAGACTTTCAACGGAAAGCAATGATATACATTCGTACGAACATCAATTATAGAAAATTGCTACTGAGAATTACAATGTTACATTGTTTTAAATGTTTTGGCCACGTGGATTACAATTTAAACCTAGTTGGCTAAGAAGCCTTTACATCAAATACACTTATTATGAATATATTCATCCATGCTCCTTTAATTGACATGACGGTTTCGACTTTCGAAAAAGACATTCCTTGAAATGGAGGTAGTCCAGGATGTATCTTCGGATCTGCTCGGAAAAACATTTTGATTCGTTTTTTCGCGAAATTTAATTCAATCAATTTGCATGTTGCCAGTACTAAAATTGCGTCAAAAATGATATTTTTGAACAAATTCCGTACATTGTTTTTGCTCGGATCAAAGTATTATTAGTTTTTTGGAATAATTCTGAATAAAAAGGGTTCTTATAAACGTATCTCTGACGCTGATAGTTTTCGAGATATAAGCGAGTTTAGTATTTGGAAAAATGCAAAATACAGACTCCCAGAAAAACAGTATGAAAGAATGAAAGTTTTAATGTCGCCAAAGTTTTTGAATAGTCCTTAAACATCAATCAACACAATCTCAAAGCATTTAAACCTTTGTGTAATTCTTAAACAAGCGTGCGCTCAATGTTTATTGTGCGTGAGCAACAACAATTCTCCCTAAAATGCTTTGGTATTTTGTTAATGGATGTTCGAGGAATATTTAGGAACTTGGCAACACTGAAATTATCGTATTTTCATATTGTTATCCACAGCTGATGCACCTCAGTTTTACAAGAATAATGTAGCTAACAGATATAAGTAATACAAAGAGATTCTTCTTTTGCATGACGGTGGATTGCAACTCTGTGCTAGTCGCAAGAGAATTTAATTTTAGCCGTTTAGCTTGAATAAGTTATGTAAATTTTAGAAAATTGGAACGATATTTTATACGTAAAAGCCGTAACCGTCATTTGACTGGAAAAATTATATTTATACACTTAGAAATCTACTTAACAGACACAATATATGCATACTCGATCATGCTGAATAGTAAAAAAATAATTCTGGAATATAAAAATAAAAACAAGCGTAAGTATAGTAGTACTGGAACCGAAAAAAATATAAAATCTAAATCACATTTCAATCAGATCACATCAAATAACCGATTAAGTAAATATTAATCTCTAAAAAACAGTTACGATATCATCATTTTTTCTTTGTTCAGCTTTATAATACATATTTTACAAAGAGTTTTTTCAGAATACACCTAGTATCGGAATAAACGAATAAATAAAAATAAATAACTTTCCTAAACTTTTTTATAGTCGCCTTTGTATTAATTCATATATTTTATTCTAATCACAAATGCAAAATTGGCTTAGGTTTGTAGCGAATACAAGTATATACAATAATTATGACTAAAACGTATATTTCGAAAAATCATAACTGTTTTTTAGGTGCAGTATCCATACATTTAATAACAGCTCCTATATATAAAGTAGTTTACAACTATATTTATAAATCTTATAGTTTCGAAATGAAAATGATTGTGAGCTGTAAGTCACATTAGGGTGTCTTTAGTTGAATGCCAAACAATCTCAGCAGGAATATTTTGAACAAAAATCCTAAAAAATTTTTTGCAACATTAAACAGGAATACACATACGCACTTGACTAGACTACGAAACAACCTGTTTCTTGTTACCATTAGAGCCAAAACATATGCTAATTCTACAATAAATCTTGCTTAATTCAGTTAGTGAGTAAATTTGCCAGAAGTCACTCAAAATAATTTGAGAAGAGTGCAAGATGTATCCGGAGCGCTTTCGTCTGTACGCCCATAATATCTTTTGAAGTAATTCCCATTTCTGAGTTGAAGAACTACGCAAGAAACAATGTGTGATCAGAGCCTTACATAGGTTTACTTTTCGAATCTTTTATATTTTTGTACATAACATTCCTCCAAGTTATTTGCCATTCTGTGATAGTAACATGCTGTACATTTAGGTTTAGGTTGAATTAAGTTTTTTTATACATTTAGGTTCAAGAATCAAAATATATATGTATGTAGATCAAACGATTATTCTGAATATCACAGAATGAACACTACATCTAATGGCTCGTGTACAAAATACGTTTAGATACAGATTTTTCATTATATTACACGAGTGGATGTCATCGAAGACAAAACTAGATATACCTCCTTTAGACCAAAAAATTGGTATTTTTTTCATACAGTTTCTGTAACAGTAAATTGTTTAGTAGTATTGTTATATTATTGCTTCCTAATGATAAGTTCAAATTGGCATCATGATAAAAAAATAATTTAAACGACTTTGTAGGGAATTAAATACTTTTAACATTTTGCTTATAAGAAATTTTTTGTACGGGCATCAGATTATGAGAACTTAAAGGGTAAAGGTACATGTAGATATATTTCTACTAAACTAAGAATCCTAAAGGGTAAAACACTTTTTGTAGATAATAAAATGTTTTACAAAAAAGTTTATGGTTTTCCGACATTGAGGGCTTTTGAAGTATAAGAAAAGAAAGTTAAAAATTTGTATCAAAAGTCGCGCGGCATACTCCGCACACGCTACGTGTCAGCACACGTTTTCATGTGTGGATCACTGCACTGATCATTATCTATGATCTAAAATACCATTTTAAAGTAAGTGGATTTTTAATGCCATGCCTATGTATGGAAAATACAATATTCTCGGAAAATCTGGTGCCTTCATAATGAAAATGCAAGTAACTCACTTCCATTTTGCCACTGCGAAGCTTCTCCAGCCGTTGTAATGATTTTAATCGAGAGATTGATGCCTTAAACCAGCATTATCTGCTACTTCTATTCTTCCATTAAAATCGCTGCAGCGGTTACCTAAATTACGCATTAACAAAATCGCAAATAGAATGAAAGCTAGTGGCTCCATCTTCATGATGAAAACATCACAAATCATGGTAGTAAAAAACGGATTCATTTTAAAATGGAATTCTTGATGAACGTTTAACTTTCCGTCATTTTACTTCAAGCACCATCAAGGTAAAATACGTAAAATACTTTTTTGTAGAAAATTTTATTATCAATAAAAGAGGTTGTAATGTTGTCTACTATTAGATTATTAGTTTAGTTAATATAAGCAAAAAATCATTGCATGTGCCGTTACCATTTAGCATCTTGTGAGCTGTTGACTGTACGACAAATTTTCATCGAAGAAAAATGATGGACACATTAATTTCCTGCAAAATTGTTTCTATTACTTTTATCTATAGGATTATCAAAAACATTGTCATATGGTAGCAAATTTTTCAGCCCTATCATGACACCAATTTAAATTTATTATTAGGAAGCAATAATCTAACGATATCATCAAAAAAATTACTGTTGCAAATATTGTAGGATTTACTTATACAAAATTTCCCTACTTCTTGGCCTACTTGATAATAAGCTGTCCAAACATGTCCAACCAAATAGATGAGGTTTGTTGAATCGCGCCTGAACCATAAACTTGTTGTTTTTCGTATAAGTAATAAGATATAACAGGTGCTTCGGAGTACTTTTTTCAAAAGCATAAAAAATACAAATGATCAACTGTTCGGGTTATCTTTATTAACAAACAAAATAAATGTTCATGACACTCCTTATTGAAAATAATATTTGTTGAAGTTTCAATTTTCGTTGATGCGGCCATATATTTTACTGGGCGAATTACTCTTTTAGTGCTTATTTATAATTAGTGAATTATACTCTCTTTATCTATGTAGAGACAAATACTAAGGAAAAAGTATGCAGCTTTGGAATCACACAATCTAGGCGGCCAATTTATCTCTCCGAAAACGATAAAATAGCTGCTGGCGGCGCCGCACGGTGGAGCAAAACGCGAAAAGCTTTTAAAAGTTTTTTTTTCATGTAGAAGCATGATCCGCTTACAGAGGTAATTCAAGAAAGATAAAAGCATGACGTTTTGAATAGACGAGTCCTCTTTGTTTCATCTATGTTCACTTTAAAGCCAATTTTGATAATAATCACGAGTCATTTTGGTACTTTTCTGTTTTAATTATACATTTTCTAAATGGAAATTTTGGAGGGAGATATGTATACTGTTTTTTTGAAACCGCCATTTCGCCTATCAGCATAGGGCTGTTTTACTATCCATTCATGGTTTAAAAAAATAAATCCCAACATTTCCTCTATGTGCTTGACATAACTATGATTTTTTTCAGCGAAAAAAATCTTTGCGGGATTCCGTTTTCTAGTGGAAATATTGAAGAACCACCAGGGCGAGCAAACCAAAAAAGTTTCAATGTTACCACCTCCGTTAGAGCACTGACGCTTCAGTCGGAAAATATAATCCACGTGTTATAGCCCAGAAGAAGCTGTTTCTCTCCTAGTATCACTATATTTGACAGAAGTGAATTAAAGTAAAAGACGTACCTACCTATCACGATATATAAATTTCATCCGCATTTTCGGAGAAATACATACTTGGACTTTACACCATAAATTATGGGGTAGTATTAATTAATTAAAGTACACTCAAATGTCCTTATAATGGTCTCTAGGGACAATTCAGATTAGTTTCGAGAAATGTACATATCCAGACTTTTGAACAGCTAGATCCTCATTTCGTATCGCTGTGCTGGAATTTTAAACAGCAAATAGCGTGGGATCAAGACAACCTTTGGAATTCCAGAATAGATCATATTTATCGCAGTAACAGCCGACATTTCCTAGAAATATTTATTTTTCAAAAGCTAACTGTCCAGAATGCTTCTTTACTATAGCAATAAAGATAACTCGATATGGGTGCTTTTCTACATTTATTTTTTTTAAAAAGTACCTCTGAATTAATTACCTGTTATTATTAATTTCAAAGCCTATATTATTTTAAGTTATAACTTTGGTTTCAGATTTGGTTATTCTGATGGTGTGCTGGATCACGATTCTTTTTTGAATACTCCGTGGACGCATAAACTTTTAGCAATACCTCGTTATAATTGAGAAGGAAACTTTTCCATATGAAATTTCACTCGGTGGAAGTACAAAAGTTATAACGAGATGTACCAGCCGAAACAAAAGTTAAACTTTGCTAGGCACGTTCGAGCAATAACAGTTACGCTTAATACTTAGTTGTCACAGAGAAAGTTTTCTCATCTGATTGTTAATCGTCTTAGGTACAATTAGTTTGAATGGAAGGTCGTTATGGAAATGGAATACGGCCATGTACAGTGCCGCCCTGACGTGATTCCCAGATTTACTAGCAATTTGGTTCAACAGATTCTGATTTCCAGCTTCTGTTAAACGCGATCGCGTCATTTCTACTTAATTCGACGTCATGGGGAGTGACATACAGGGCGGAGCATAAAAAGGTTCGATGTTATTGCTGAAAGTGCCTTTTATACAATTTGAATATACTCTCTCTGTCAAACAAACGTTTTTCAGGACAATTTTGAAATTGATCGTACACGTATTAACGTATGACAAATATTTCGCGCTCTGTGTAGAATACACAGTATGTGCTTGTGACCAGGGAATAACTTTTCCAAGCAATGATTAGATTAATATGTTTTTTAAAATCATTCTGCGGGTTAAAGCTAGAACCATGAAATTTTTAGTAAAGCCTGCCCTTCAATGTAGCCGTTTTGGGTAAAACGCATTCATGTTTCCAGGCGGCTATGTTTTCTCAAAAGATCTCATCAGTTCATCATTGTAGTTATACTTATTATTATAAAAGTAGGCCTTGAAAGATATTTTTGTATTACATGTATATAATATACTTGCTACTAGAATCCTCTGGAAATATAGCAACATGAAAGCGTAATATACAAGACTGAATTGACAAGGGACGTATTGACCGTTTTATTCTTAAAAGACATCCAAATCTTTCTGATACGTAGCCTAGCAGATAATCATAGTATGGAAATCACATAATAAAACAAGTTTAGTAACATATTTATATGTTGCTGTGCTACAATGAACCTACATATCAAGGAATATGGAGATTTCATGGAAATGATTGAAATATTTTTTCTTAAGGTATTGAAAAATAGCCCCAGTCAAGCAATTTTATTACATCAGCCCGTAGTGAACTGGTATTGCCTTATTGCTAGAAGTCCGTTACAAAAACACGATAGTTTTTGATTTGATAGTAACTGATTTCTGCTAGACTACATTGTCCTATTTGATAACCATTACACCCAAGCTAGATGATGTTTATAGGTTGATACAACCACCATAATTATATTGCAAATGCTTTCCGTCAACTTCACTACTTCTCATGTTCTAGTTCAACCCGTTTAAGTGAAATTATGATGGTACTTATTTGAAACATCACGCAACCATAGATAAAACTTTCAACAAACATCATCTAGATTGTTCTGAAACAGGAATGACCATAGAGCTAGACCTAAGACATACCCGATGAGGGATCATCCCTGTCGTTACCCACTTCACTCCAGTTCTTTTTGTTAGATTTATTGTTCGTGCTTTCACCGAAGCTTATGTTGTCTATGTAGCTCATGTCATTCACATCTTTAATAAACACTGGTTCCGAGTTTACAACTCTGCTACTATACCTAGGAAAAATAAAAACAACGCATTCTATTAAAATTCTCAATCAAAATATTTGCATCCAATAGCTAAAGTTTTCAGCAACATCTGAATTTTGATAGATTGGAAATACGTCATATATTAAAGCCATATTAACTTGTTTTTCATTTTCTCAGAGCCATATTGATTATGCTTGAGAAGTCTTTAGTTGAAAAAACACCTGCATAACTACTATTTTTTAATAACGATAAACAGTAGGTACATCTACTGGTTGATAAAACACTTTTCATTTTGACGATTTGAGAAATTAGTTACGAACATGTACAGTAGAGAAATAGAACGAGTCATGTCAGTCAAAATGACCCATAACCTTCCATAGACACTCTTTCCCTGCCTTACCGGTAGTTACCAGCGCCCACTGAAGCATCACCGTAGTACGAACAGAACAATCAAGCAGACTGTTACGACGGAAGCTGAGCCTAGATAGCGGAAGGAGACGCGTGTCCAAAACATTTCTCTATCATTCAGTTTTAGAGATAAATTTACAGAGAAACCTGTGATGTGTGAAACATGGATAATAGGTGCGTAGAATTACCAGGGTTGGGAGCGTATCAGTTAGTATACTTACATTGAAAAATTGAGAAATACAACCCTCCACCCCATAATTTTGTACACCTCAAATTTTGTTCACAAATCATCAGGATTGAAACGTCAAGAAACGACGAGTGACGGTTTTTTTTTCGTTTTTGCCTTTGTCTCCGCGGCCACTGAACCTAGTGCCAGAAACTACAAAGTTTGTTCGCGTAGTAGTATCCTTGCGTAAAATATCATCCAAATCAGACAGACTGACCGACAGACAGACCGATGGAAATGAGTGACATGATTTTTCCCGATGTGCATGTCATATAACATCCACAAAATATCTCAGTTTCGAAATTAATCGCTATTAAAATACTTCCTCCTACTGGTCTTCAGCGCGTAGGAAGTAAAAATAGATTCTGTAACACTGAACTTAAAGTTTTTTATCTATTTTTTAGATCGTCGACCGAAATCGTTGGTATGCCAAGTTTCGGATGAACTTTTGAAGTAATAAAATTATTTTGTCTATGTAAACATTTCTTAGGAATTGTCCCATATGGAAATCGAGAGCTTCATACCTCTGTTCCTCGGAATCCCTCGTTACAACTGGCTCCGTTTTCTTATCACTTTCGTCCACGCTCTTATTGGACACCACTTTGCTCTGCTCCTTCACAGCATTTGCGTCTTCTTCTTGAGGTAACTGCTGCATTTTCGCTATCCGGTTTTCTACGATCTGCAGATGCCTCAAAACGTAGTCTTCACCAGGTGCCAGTTCGTGGGCTTTTCGGAGACAGGTTTGGGCTTCTAACAGCTTTCCTCGTTCCACGTGGACCACGCAGAGGTTGTGCAGACCTTGAATGTTGTCAGGTTCGAGCTCCAGGATCCGCCTGTAGCACTAAGAAAAAGGAAGAGTCAGTTTGGTAGAGAACATTTGGTTATAAATATGAGGATAATTCTAGGCGTAGATTTGTTTTTGAGTAACTGTCTTGCGTGAATTAGGAATTCGAGCCCAGTTTTTTTGACAAGATCGACGCGAGGTTCCAGAAGTCCCATTTTCATACTCCAATTTAGCATTTTCAAGACCATACTCTGAGTCAGTTTCCTAAATTACAGTCCACCTGGTTTCGTTCTTTTGTAATAACGGGGTGATACAAATTATTACATTTATACGGTATATCGGAACAAGGCAGCGCAAAGCACCACCGATCACTATTTGTTAGAACTGTAAAGATCTCAGTTCACGTTTAATATAGCTCAGCCACCATGTGACCGCTAGATGGCTAACGATTCTGTCCGAATAGTAGATGTGGACCAGTTTAAACATATCACAAAAGAGTCTAAGATCAAATTGTGAAACGGTCTACCATCTGACTCATTTTTAGTATTCTTCCTACAGCTTTTCTTAAAATGAATATAAAATCATACAAACACTGAAAAGGGCCACCTTTGGATCTAGTGATCCGCGGTGAAGCGAGAGTAGTCGCTCATCGACTGTGGAATCAGGGCAGCTGGACCTTCTTGAATCCTGTCAAGTGATACACTGCCATGTTAGTCGAATTGCAAAGGGAGGAGCCTGTCCTTCTAAGCAGGGGTGACCTTATTACCCCTAAATATCGCTTCAACCGCAAGTTTAATGTGGAGTATCCAACGAGGGAGGAGTGGGACGCCGGTAGCCGGAGACTCTCCGGAGTGAGCGGGCAGGTCAATGGGCCTAGAACTGGCCTCTCGTTGGATAGACCACTATTTTTCAGGCGGAAATCTTTGCGATTCTGGCTTGTGTATCTCGCATTCTGGAGGAGGGTGGGCGTAGGAGAAGAATAACAATCTTATCTGACAGCCAGGCTGCAATGAAGGCACTAAGTGCCTGTAAGATTACTTTGAGTCTTGTATTGCAATGCAGGGATGCTCTGGATTGCGTCGCAGCGAAGCATCCTGTATCGTTAATGTGGGTACCGGGGCATGCTGGGATAAGGGGCAATGAGACGGCGGACGCACTGGCGAAGGCAGGATCAGCCCGGCAAGCTCGTTGGTCCTGAGGCAGCTTTAGGAGTGCCCGCGCATAGAGTTAGGAGCAAAATGGAGACGAGGATCGCAACACTCTCAGAAATAGAGAAGTATCTCCAGACATCACCGCCAGGCAGAGGAACCCATTGGAGGACCCAGTGCTGAGGATGGACGTTTTTGCTTATCTCTGGATAGAGCCAACCTAAGATCGCTGGTGGGACTGTTGTCTGGCCATAACACGTTAAGGCGCCACCTGCACATGATGGGGGTGGTTGGGGATTCCTTGTGTGAGCGCTGCGGGGTAAAGGAAGAGACCTTGGCACACGTTCTGTGTCGCTGTGAACCTCTGAGCTACTATAGGCAGACTACTGGGCCCATTACTTTGGACCCTCAGGACGTCAAGGAGCTTGGACTCAAGGTCATTCTCAACTTCGCTAAAAAGGCGAAGCATGTGATTTAAGGAATGTAGAGGTGCATAAGGGCTCGTTTAAGCGGCCTATGCACTGGCTCCTTATGGTGTCCGGAATGCCTCTAATTTTATGATCCACTCAGGGCCACAAAACACACATTTAGTTTTGATGGATGGCTTTACCCGAAGCGGGCTTGTGGAATTACTGAATTACAGGGTTGACAGGAGCGCGTCTCGATTTATAGCAACAGTTACTTGTAAAAATTTGAGTGTCGACTTATACCTAGGAGATTCTTTCACCATTTAATATACTAAGTGACATATAAATCCGAACACCCAGTTTAAATGTTTTTATTTTAATAAAATTTTGTATAAGTACTTAATGAAGCATAATAAGTAAATGATAAAAATTTCAAAATGATTGCACTGCTTTAAAGCCCTTTGATCTTTAATAATGTGTGGATGCACCCTGATGTGCTACGCATTCTCCAACGCGCCTAGGCATGCTTCTGATCAGGTGGTCAATGCCCTCCTGTGGTATATCATTCCAGGCAACCACCAACTCCTCTCGAAGTGCTTCTAGAGTCTGAGGAGGACGTTGCAAATTGAGCAATCTCCTACCCATCATATCCCACACGTGCTCAATTGGGGATAAGTCGGGAGATCTTGGTGGCCATGGTAACAATGTGACATCATTATGTTGAAAGAAGTCTATTGTGACTCTTGCAACATGTAGTCGGGCATTATCTTGTTGGAAAGCTGGATCTGCCAGGGTGTCAAGATAGGGTAAAAGATGGGGTTCTAGAACTTCGTGGATATAACGCTGCGCGTTCATGTTACCTCTGATAAAGATTAAAGGTGACCTGGAACCATAAACTATAGCACCCCAAACCATAACTCCAACACTGTGATGAACATGTCTTTCAACAAAAAACTGTGGATTCCTCCTTTCACCACGTCGCCTTCTAACCCTGGCACGACCATCGTGCATGTCTAAACAAAATCGAGACTCGTCACTAAAGACAATACTGTTCCATTCCTGATCCCAGAGTGACCGTTGTCTGCACCACTCGAGGCGATTACGTCGGTGTTCTCGAGTTAAAGGGAGGACCCAGTGTGGCCGGTATGAAAACAAGCCAAAACTTCTCATTCGTCGGTAAACACTTCGCATGCCAATAGGTCTTCCGTGTTCTGCAAACCATTCATTTGCAATGGACCTGCTAGTGGAGAAACGGTCCCTTAAGGCCAATAATCTTAGGCGGCGATCTTTACGGTCTGTTGTTCTACGGCGGCGTCCAGTGCCCCTTGCTCTTTGCGTACGGCCTTCTCGAAGCCATGCCTGACAACACCTAACCATAGTGTCTACACTTCTTTGCACTCTAACTGCAATTGCCCGAAAAGAAAGTCCAGCTTCCCGAAGTCCCACTATACGGCCCCTATCAAACTCACTAAGTTGACGAAATCGTACAGGTCTCCGTACTCTAGGCATCGTAACCGATCGTAAAGGATGTCAAGAACCAAAATCCGCCAACGTTGATTCTTTACTGCGGCTGAAATATTCATTTTTAGAGCGTTAGTGAATTAAAAAGAAGCAGTATAAAAACCGGAATGTCCAACTGATAAGGCTGAACATTTTTTCACTTGTTATTTACAGTAAGATAAATACATTCACCAACTTTTATTAAAATAAAACCATTTAAACTGGGTGTTCGGATTTATATGTCACTTAGTATATTTTCACTCTGCACAAAAACCAGATAAAGTCAGGCTGGTACTCTACTCACATTTCTAGGGAACAAGTGCCCCAATTGCACCATTCCTACTCGATTGCGGTTCAAAGCAGGCAGTCTGACTAATCGGTGAGACTTTTTTAAAAGTAACAGCAAGCTACAAGCCTCTTTCACCGAACTTTGTATCTCTAAGGGCACTTGTTCCCAAAAAATGTTAGCAGAATCCCAGGCTGGGTTTATCACGCTTTTGTGGAAATAATAAGTGGTGAAAGAACCTACTAAGCGTTTTTTTGATGAGACGTGTTCCTGTCATATGATGTCATTCAGTAATTTGAACATCCACAAGCCAGCTTCTTACAAGGCCATCCATCAAAACTAAATGTGTACTTGTGGCTTATATATTTTATATTTATTTTAAGAAAAGCTGTGGAAAGAATGCTAAAAATCAGGCAGATGGTAGACCGTATCACATTTTGATCTTAGGCTCTCGAGTCATATGTTAAAATTGGTCGATAGTCTTAAAGCTCTTTTTAGGCCTAATAATATACTTTGCATTTTATGTGTGAGTTTATTAAATTGTGGATAAGAACAGGTTGGCGATATTGAGCATTGAACTATTGGCCTTGATTTGGACTTTTTATTCGTTTAAAATCAATCCATCAATGCACCATGTTAAAAGAGTTCTTGTTATAAATTTATTAGAGTGGCTGTAGAATATTTCGACAGTTCTACAGCAGCTCACGTTAAATGGCGTTAACGCTTCAACTGTTTCCTTCCTTTAATCTAAGGTTGAGCAACGACTTTGCCTCGCGATCGCCTATTGAACATTTAACGTCGTCATAGGCGTCCAAATAAGATTCGTGATAGGATCTGTGGTTTATAGTATGAGAAGATAGTTTTGCATAGGACTGGTTTGATTTTGTAAGATTTCATACACAATATCATTACAACATTGTTCAATTCCATTAGACACGTTATGCGTTGATATCTCCTCTACTACAGTTGTCCTCAATGACTTGATGGGTGCGTCAGAAATTCAGATATGGTTAGCACAGTGAATATTGCCCCTAAGTGTTAGACAAATTAATGCACCCACACGAACAAACTATTTATCCTATAAAGATGTTAAGTACATACATTGCAGGAAGTTTGTTTTTACTCGTAGTTTAATTTAACATATAGAAAGATATGGAAGGGTACTATAAGATACTATCATAACGCCCTCGTAATTATGACCTTGAGCGGCGATGGGACGCCTTTGCAGCTTCGATAAGGAATCGAGTTTAATCTAGAAAATGGTGGTGGGCATCGGATACCGTCGATTCACCACATACATATCGGACCAGCCAGTGCGGAATTAAGATGGAATAATAGTCAATACATGGTATATTTTTTTTACAAATCAGTTGCAAGTGTTATAAATTAGTGTTGAGAGTAATGAATTGGACTTTGAACTGTAAGAACGATTTTTTTCGTTACAGTGGTGGCAGGTGTACGGGTTAGTGCATCGCGAGTGACTTTAATCGTTTTAGTGACTGAACTGTGAGTGTGTGGGAAGTGACGTTTAACTGTTTCAGAGGCTGTACCGTGCGCGTATAGGGGGTAACTGTGACTGTTTTGAGTGACATCTTATAAGTTTGTTATAAATTAGTGTAAAGAATAATAAATTGGGCTTTGAACAGAAAGAACGGTGTTTCCGTTACACTATTTTTAGGCTTTCCAAAATGGTGCCGAGAGCCAAAAAAATCCAAG